TGTAAAGTGATTAGGGAGTGTTTGTGGACTATGTGGAGTGTTGGAGAAGTCACTGGCTGAGTGATGGTGTTGGTGGAGCACATGTGAAGTATTTATAAGTTTAGGAGATTACTGATATACTGTACGACTACATCCTGTAGATTCACACAGATGTTGTGTCTCCCTGCAGACGGCTCAGACGGTCCTCCTGGTCGTCACTGTCTTCACTATCTGCTGGATGCCCCACCACATCATCGTCATGTGGGCGGAGTTCGGCACTTTCCCCCTGACCCAGGCGACCTATGTCTTCCGCCTCGTGTCCCACTGCCTGTCCTATGGAAACTCCTGCGTTAACCCCATCCTGTACGCCTTCCTGTCTGAGAACTTCCGCAAAGCCTGTCGCAAGGTCTTTACCTGCTACTTCCTGTACCCGCCGCCGCCCACAGAAAATGTGGTTCGTTTTCGCATGGAAAACTTCTCCACCACACACTCCACCACCAACATATGAAGGGCCAAGATAAATGACACTCAGGGTGCTTATCCAGCAGTACATGAGGGAAAGCTTTGTCTGAGTGGATGAAGATGGATGGATGGAAAGAAACAAACTTTTGTTTAGGATTTTGTGGTCGCTAGAAGATGCATTTACTGTCCAGTGATTGCCAAGACTTGCGATAGCTTACGGTTTTGTAATGTGGACCTTACACAGTTAATTCACACTTAACCCTGTGACCCTTGGAAACATCACGCTGTTTGAATCTTGCTTCAGAAAAAAGGACAAAACTCTGATCTCCATTAGTTTCCAAGTGACTACAGTAACAAGAGATAACATAAAACATGAAAGGTAAAATAAATAACCATTACCATCTTACGGGTAAAGTACAGATTAAGAAATAGTTCATGAAACAATATTTAGGTCTTTGGTATATTTCAAAAAGATATTTTAAATAAACTCAAAGTCCCAAAGCAGACTGGGATGATAAGAAAAGGGCTGACGCTGAGTTAGCGGGCTAAAAAAGTACAGAAAAAACTCTAGGCAGATAACTGTGACAAACACACAAAAACAGT